GCCAGCTCAGACCAGGTTCTCACTTGTTCTCATTAGCTGTGGCTTGGAGAAGTGGGACCACATGGTACCAACCATACTCGCCCTCTAACTGGTAGGTGGGGGCAGGAAGGGTGCAGTTCCCACACAAAGGAGGATAGTTTTGATTTAGGCAGAGACCCCAAAAGATGTCTTTTACCCTGTTCTGATAATTTAACCTTAGCAAAGCAAATTTGATATCCTAAAACCCTGAGTAAGCAGTGAGGAAGTGTTTTTCCAGTACCAGGCAGGCCCTGGCCAGGCCTGGTGTGGGCAATGAAGAACGTGAGTGTAACAGCTCCCTCTCACCTTCTGGATGTGAAATCTGCCCTCTAGTTCCCCTTTGAGATGCTGGCAGCCCTTCCTGATTTCTCCTTCCTTGTTTTCTCCCTGCCATCCTCCCACCCCAGTGTCACCCTGGCCTTGGCCTCTCGTCTTCCCTTGTGCCAGCCCTGTTCTCCCAACTTGCCCACTCCTAGCCTGCATGCCCCTTGTTTTGCAGGGCCTATGCACCTGCCCCACTCTATTCCTCATGGTTCTCAGACTCTTTTCCTCAGTTGTCCCATTTTACCCACACCTTTGCCCTCAATTTGTCACACCCTTTCCTGGAAATACTGACGCACAATCACTCAAGCTCCCTCAGATACTTTACAAACCGTTCAGAAAAATATAGAGAGTAGTGTAACAAACTACTGTGTACTTAAGAACTAAAATTAGTATTTTGCTATGTTTGCCTCTGATATTTTTAAGAACAGAAACATTTTAGATAAAATTGAATTTTTCTGCATATCTCTCCAAGGTCCCATTCTCTGCCCTCCCTTCACAGTGACAACCACTGTGAAAGGAATCAGAGTATATTCTATTAAAAAATTTTTGTATTATATACGTACATGTCTATAATCGATATATAGTGTTATATTGTATAGTTAAACTTTTGTGTAATGGATATTTTATTGTGCATTTTATTCTACAGATGATTTTTTTACTCAATATTATGTTTTTAATACCTAAACATGTTATTATATATACATCTAGTTGATTCATCTTAACAGCTGCATGACATTTTATTATATGAATCGCAGTTTATTGATTCCCACATAGCCAACATTTTAGCATTTCCAGTTTCTCTTTATAACAACTTTTGGAGAACATTCTTGTGTTGGAAAGCCCAGTCTTCTCCCCTGTGAGCCTCCTATGTGTCGCCTTTACTTCTCCGCTACTACACAGGACACTTCATTTCCGGTCACCAAACGTGTGGGGGATTTTCCCCCACCAAGCAATTCTCTGCAACGCCAGCTGGGTGTACTACAATTTAACTCAATTCCGACACTACCTGGAGATAGCATCGTATGCCACAGGTTAAGGACTCAGTCCCACAAGACTGCATCCCACTTCAGATGCCAATTGCAAATACTAGGTCCCCAGGCTACCCACAACCTCTGTCTGATTTGGCTACAGTCAGAGGTTTCCACGACCCCCTCCTCAGTTTTGATTAATTTGCTAGAGCAGCTCACAGAACTCAGGAAAACACATATTTACATTCACCAGTTTATGAAAGGATATGATAAAGGATACAGATAAACAGCCAGATGAAGAGATCCACAGAGTGAATTCTAGGAGGGTCCTTGTGGAGTTGGGGTGCATCACCCTCCCAGTATGTGGATGTGTTTGCTGACTTGGAAGCTCTCTGAACCCCATCCTCTTGAGGGTTCTTCACAAGGGCATGATCAATTATTAACTCCATTTCCAGCCCCTCTCTAGAGAGTGGTTGGGGACTGAAAATTCTAAGATCTAATCATGGCTTGGTCTGTCTGGTGACCAGCCCCATCCAGGAGCCCACTCAGAGTTGCCTCAGTAGAACAAAAGATGCTCCTAGTGCTCTTATCACTTGGGAATTTTGAGGGTTTTAGGAGCTCTGTGCCAGGAACTGGAGGCGGAGACCTATATATATATATATTTTGTTGGCTTTTTCTAAGTCGTGGTAAAACATTGCCATTTTAATCGCTTTTAAGTATAGAATTCAGTGGCATTAAGTACATTCACAGTGTTTTACAACCAGCATCAGGTACAGCAGCTTTTAATATGGATTCAGTCCGATTTATCAGTATTTATGATTGATGCATACAGCTATTCTCTTATCCTATATTTTCCTACATTTTTTTTTTTAAGGTTTAGTTTTTTATTCTTTTTCATCTACCTGAGGTTTTTTGTGCTTCAGTCTGTTTCTGGGCTGTTCTGTTCCATTCATTTGTCTATTTCTACCCCATTTACCATACTTTTAGAAGTTACTATAGCACCTTTTACCTAGCTCTTCTTCAATTCTTGGACTTTAATAATTTCATGTGAATTTTAGAATTAGTTTGTCAAATTCCACCAAAAATCACCTTGTGATTTAGATTGGCATTCCTTAGAGAGTTTTGGCGTCACCTCAACACATCCTCTTCTGTGCTTCCTTTCCTTACCTTCTGGCTCGTTTCTCTCAAGCTAGGCCTTTGCACAGCATTTCCCCGTGTAAGCTGTACTTGAGCTGGATTCAGAGCGAGGGAGAGAAAGAACAAAATGGAATGACAGGTCTGATAGCACTGTCTTTTACTAAATTTATACCATGAGTGGGCACAGTACTAGAGCTTTTCATATCTTATTTAATTTTCACAAAAACCCTGTAAAAACAATAGGCTCAGAGAGGCAAAATACCAAAATACCAGGTCTGTTTGACATACAGCTGGTGCTGTGTACATCCCATAGTCATCAGAGACAGTATGTATAGTGGTTAAGAGCATGGCTTCTGGAGCTAGACTGTCTGTATTTGTGTTCTGGCTCTGTTAATACTAGCAGTATGACCTTGGGTAAGCTACTTAATCACTCTGAGTATAGTTGCCTCATTAGTAAACATGAGCCATAATAATAGTACTTACCCTGTGGGATTCTTGTAAGATTTAATAGGTTAATATGTGTAAAGTGCCTAAAAAGGGCTGGTAAATGTAACTGCTACTATACGGGTGTTATGATTATGATCTCTAAGGCATGATGGCTAGAGCAGTTCTCAGGTAGAGGCTTATCTCACAAGGCTCTGAATTGGGCCCTTCAGTGGTGAAAAGGAGATAATAGCACAAACCTGTTTCTACTCTGCCCACCTCCTGAAGAACCTTCCCCCTCCTCAACCTCCCCACCTTCTGCAGCACTCCTAGCTTCAGCTCATCCTCAAGTCCTTCCCCTTGGCTGTCCCATGCGCACCAGGCTTCTTACTAAACAAAATGCCCTTCATCTTTTTGCCGTTGTCCCTTCTTAGCTCTGTTTCCTTTTCACATGAAAAGGTGACCTGTGACTACTGATTTTGTTCGTTCTTTCATCCTTAGTCGTTAGGCCTCCCTACTGCAGTTCTGGGTCACCAGAACCTGGCCTGGCAAGATCCAAAGACTTTTGTATTCTTTCACTTACATTTTCTGAAGGAACTTTGATTGGCTACCCATGTGGAAAGTGTGTCTACTCAGTACTCACCACTCCTCAGAATTTGACAGTGTTGACCCGAAGCTTTTCTTCCCTTGTTCTTCTGACTGTACTCCCTTCTCACTTCTCTAAATCCTACCCCTCCTTCATTGTCAAGCCTACTTCTTTCATAGCTTGTCTGACATCCCTACATCACACCATTTCATTTGGCAAACTCTTACTGCTGAGCATCTGCTATATGCCAGTCATGGCTGAAGGAACTTATAGTCAGTCCTGAGGGAACCAGTACTCTCACACGATAAGCAATAGCAATGTTAAAACAAAATGACAAGACCAGTACTAATATCAGTATTTTATAAATGTTCAGAGTTCATCACATTTTTAAAAATCGGAGAAACTAAACATTTAAAAGCTTCCAAATACGTTATTTATAAACAGATTCTAGAATGCCACTTTGACTGCGGACAATCCGATGGCGGCTTCCTTTAACCACAGTCCTGTCTGCTCCTGGGCGTGAAGAGTTGCCATGGTCTCTGTCATAGCTGGTTCCCTTGGGTCTTAGTGCCATCCTATTCTGCTGAGCGGAGCTTTCAGGACCACCATCTCCGGGCAGCTCTTCCACTCTGGCTGGGGGCTCCTATTGTAGAAATTTTTATTTCTTTTCCTGCCCAGCTGAGATAGAGAGTCTCACCCATGTACCCATGTTCTAATTTCTCCCTTTCCCCGGATGACTTCTCTCATTAGGCCCATGCTCAGTCCTCCTCCCCGCCCCCGTCCCGCTGCCCTGCCATACACATAACACACCTCCCTGATGGGAATGCTGCTGTGTAGATAGATGCAGGAACTAAGTGGAAACTAGCTGCTGGGACAACTTGTGGTAAAGCTGTTAGTTTTGGTGAGGGAGGGCTGGGAGGGAAGGGAAGGAGAAGCGGAGAGAGATTGGTGAGAAAGTAAGAGTGTGAAGAGAACTGACCTGTGTCTGAAATAATAGTATTATAAGCACCAAATACCTGCCTTTTGTTCTTAAAAACTGCATGACAAACCAGAATCCTGAAAGCAGTATCACCACTCAATAGTATAATAAATGCTTTGCCAATCTGAGGATGGCAAAATGGATGAAGAAATAGATGAAGAGGAGATAAGGGATGAAGAGGAGGCAGAGGCAGAGGGATCTGAGCTGAGTCTTGCAGGATGAGTAGGAAGCAAAGGAGAGAAAAGGAGGTGGGGTTGTGGGAGGGGATGGCATGTGCCACTATGACCTGGAGTGATAAGTGTAATAAAGCCCAGTGCCACAGGGGAATGTGTTTTGAGGAGTCCTTTGCCTAAAGCTTGTGGGCTTTCTGTGCTGTGTTAAATCACACCCTTGCCTCAGGTATCTTGGTGATGAACTGTTATCTTCTGTATGAGAAGGAAGGCCTGGGACCTGAAGGCTCTGGTCTTTTGTCCTTCTTAAGTCTTTTGGTGGCCTATGCACCAGGGCATGCCCCAGGCCTGCTGACATGCAGCTTGGTCACCTTCATTCCTTTTTCTTCCTGCAGCCTGGTGCAAGCAGAATACTGGCATGACCCCATAAGGGAGGATATGTACCGCAACCACAGCATCTTCTTGGCAGATATTAATCAGGAGAGAGTAAGTACTCAACCCACGCTGCCACAGCTGCACATTCATTTTTCTATTGGAGCATTATAAACAGATCAGCAGTGACTGTTTTGGGATACCCAAAATATCCCAGGCAGAACCTGGGAAACAGAAGTTCTGGTTTTGGGGGAGCCAGTGTTTCTGAGATTCAGTTCCTTTTAGGGAGGCTGAAATCCATTTGGCTTTTTTCCCTCAGGTCTTTTCCCTCCCCCTAGGGTTGAAGCACAGTAAGCTCAGTGGGTTGGCTTACATGGAACTTGACAGCTGCTGTCTTACTGAGGGAAGCCTTCCTGATGGGTCTCTTTTGGGTCATATTTTCTCAGAAGAGAGACTGCAGAGGGGAGTGAGTGTGTCCAAGGCATAAGCATAGGTTGGGAGATTCTGATAAACTGAATGGCTCCATGTATAATGGGCATTATCTGGAGGTTTAAAAATTTTTTTTGAAAAGGGGAAAAACAGAATAATGTACCAAAACCACTCAGAATTTGCAGTTTCTTATTTACCATTGGTTTTTTTTTTCTGGCTAGAAACCTTTAATCTATGTGACAAATGCCTGTGGAGTGCAGTGACAGATTCATGGTGGCGCTGTGGTTGCCATGGTTGGTGGGGGCATGTCAATCAGATAGGACAGTAAGGAAAAGCTGTACAAGGTATATTCTGGCCAGGAAGCTGGAAACGCAACCTGTACCTTTGGGAGGAAACATGGTGGCCCAGAGTCTGGGAGACCAGAGCACTGAAAGGCTTTAATGCTCCTGCTAGAACATGATGGTGATGTCCTGAGATACTGCTGGCCTTTCCTCTAGGGTATCAATGAGTCTTACAAAAAGAACCTGATGGCCCTGAAGAAGTTTGTGATGGTGAAATTCCTTAACGATTCCATTGTAGAGCCTGTGGATTCTGAGGTGAGACGCTGCTTAAGCATGCCAGGAGACCATAGGAATAAATAACATTAAAATACAGCTGCCTTTCAGGGGGAAGAACCTTCAGTCCCTTCCATCAACCTTTGTGTAGAGCAGGGGTTCCTCACCCAAGGTCTATAAACTGAGGGTTGTAAGCCCCCCACCACCTGAAATGATATGCAAAATTGTGTAGTTGCATTCTCTGAGGAAGGGTTTATAATTTTGATCGGATTTTCAGAGACCTATGACCCAACAAAAGGTTCAGAACCACCACAAAAGTTGGTAATTTCCTGAGGTTGGCATTCAAGGTCTGTCTTGACCTGGCTTCACCTGTCTCTCCAACCTAATCTCCCTTCGCTACCCACTTCATACCCTTTGATCAAGCCATATTGTACTATTTGAAATGCCCTAAACTTGGCACGTACATTTCTTTTGCCTTTGTTCATGCTTTTCAGTCTCTAGAATGCCCTTCCCTGAGCTTCCCCATCTGACAAGCTATTCATCTGTCAAAGCCAAACTCAAATCACTTCGTCCATCCAGGATGCCATCCCTATTCCAAGCGGAATTTGCTCCCTCTTTTGTAGAATCAATCAACCTTTATTAGAGCACTCATCACGTCACGTCAGACCATCAGAGACTAGCAAAATCATGGCCTGCTGGCCAGATCCAACCTGCCACTTGCTTTTATATGGCCACGGACAGAATGGTTTTTACATTTTTAAATGGTTGAAAAAAATCAAAAAGATTATCTGCTGATGTGAAAATTATATGAAAAATTATATGAAAATTATATGGTCAGATTTCAATGTTCATAAATAAAGTTCTATTGGAATTCAGCCATGCTCACTTTTAAAATATTTTCTGTGGCTGCTTTTCCATTATAATGGTAGTGTTGACTAGTTGCAACCATGCGGCTCTTAAAGCCAAAAGTATTTTGTATCTGGCCTTTACAGAAAAGTGTGCTGACACCCATGCTAAACAATTAGTTGTTTCTGTGCCTCATTAGAGCTTCTTGAAAACAGGGACTATATATATTTGTCTTTGAATGTATGTCTAGAGTTCAACACAAGGATTTCACTGGGTAGGTACCCAATCATTATAGGAAGCAGAAATTCTGGGAAATTGGAAAGCTCTTTGGAAAGATTAACTCATCCCTCAGGGTACACCCTTAGAAAGAATGACTCAGGACATACTCTGTTTTTCCTCCTTGCTACAGCTTTATGATGATGTTCAGCTTGTTGGTAGTCTTAGCTACCAGCCAGTCTTAAATTAGTTTGGCAGTATGTGCCATGTGTCTAATCTGATTATTGCTTCCTCTTTTCCTGCAGTGGTTTGGATTTTATAGAAGTGGCCAAGACAAGGAAACCATTCCCTTACAGGAGACCACTCTATACACACAGGTAACGGAGAGAGGAGAGGCGTTGTCCTTTTAAGCTCCTGGCTCCTGAAATGCTAGATTCTCTGGAGATAAACCCTGTCCTATACATCCCAGAACAGTAGGTGCTCACAAGCCATCTAACTCGTCTGTTACGGGTGAGACTTGTTAGGTTGCTGACTGTTGCACCAGCCCATCAGGGGCTGGTTTACAGAAATCTACATCTCGAAGGTTAAAGGACCTGTACCTCATGATTTTCAAGTATGTACAAGGGACACATCATCCCTAACTCCTTCCTTCTGATAAAAAGGTTTAGAACTGACTTCCTTTGCTAAGGTGCAGACTGGAACAAATCCAAGGCCTTATGCATAATGAAAACATAGAAGAGAGGGGTGTAGTAACATTAACATGTGAAAGTTCTGTTTTTGAATTAGGCACCGACAAGGGGAGCTCCTCTTGCAAGAGAATGAATGGAAATAGAGCTGTGAGTTTTTTTTTTCTTAGCAGTAGGTGGTTTCTCAAGCAGAGGTTGCAGCATTTCGCCACCTCCTGTTCCACATTCTGAAGATTTTATATTGGAGATCACTTTCCCCAAAATGCAGAAGCACTGTATCTGCAGCAATTGCCACATCTGCATCAGTTGCCTTCTACTAGAGTTCCTTCAAAAAGCCATTTGCCGCCTCTCTTGGCTTTTCTCCTGCATTTGGTGCCTCAGCTTGGATGAGGTAAAAGGAAAGGGAAGCTAGGGACTGTCTAGTTTTGGAAATTACAACTAAGAACTTCCTTATCCTGAAACTCGGACCGATGGTAGCCACAGAAGCAACATTCTGGCACTCCGTAACTGCTCATCCTCCCAACTGTACTTGTTCTGCAGGACGTAGACATTTGTAATTGCAGGATATGAAAGTGTCCCAGGTTTGTAACCTAAGGGTTGGATATGTTTTAAGTTATCTCATGTTCTCCTGCCTTTGGCTGTTCCACTGAACATTTTGAGGCAGTTTTGTCTGTGGGTGGTCCTCCAGAAGCTTCGAGAAGCTTCAGAAAGCAGAATTTAAAACGCTATAAAATTATCTCAACTGCATATATTTTTAGTACTTAGGGATAAAATGGAAGGAGGTATCCTTTCTGGCATTTATGACAACATACTTAAATTTTTATACTTAGGGAAAATATTTCATATTGAGAATTTATCTCAAATTAACATTGTTACTAACATTTTACTCCAAAACTTTCATTAAGCGTCTGGACTGATTATGGCCTTTCTTTGCAGGACCGCCTGGGGCTAAAGGAAATGGACAATGCAGGCCAGCTAGTGTTCCTGGGTGTAGAAGGAGACCATCTTCAACTGTCTGAAGAATGGTTTTATGCCCACATCATACCCTTCCTTGAATGAAACTCTTGGATTTACACCAGAGCTCAGGGAGCCCCCAGCACTTCCAAACCAGTGGAAGACTGTTCCCTTCACACCCAACCTGAGCTCAGATCCAGCTTGCAACTAATCCTTCTCTAACATGCCCTGCTCCAAAAGATCTAAGATCCAAATCTTATCCTTTGCCTCATCCTATCAGCATGTGGTGTTGAATGCAAGTTTAATTAGTTAATAACCATGGAGATTATTTTACAATCATTTGATGTGGTCAAGCTGTCTTAGAACAGTCTACTGCAGGTCAGTGCCAGAACTGTGCCCAGGCCTAGAAGAGACTGAACTAAAGTGGTCTTTAAAGAGTCTAGCTAGACTCTGAAGGGCAAACATCTTTCTCAGGAAAATCTAGCCACATTTTGAGCCTAGAGAAGGCCAATACCCAGACCTGAGGTATTCACATAAATGCTGTTTTGCTGGTGGATATTTAATCAGTGCTTGGAAAACTATTACTTAGATAACGTTTCTGCATAATCTGAGACTGCCCTCCTCTGACTACGTTGCCTTTTGTGACGTCTAGCAATTATTATTTCTGCTAGCCCACCATCTTGCTTCGGTAGCACTCTTTTTGTCTCCTCAGGTAGTGATGAAGTAGTTGCTCTGTCACAAAAGGAGGGGACTCAACTGGATTGCTTAAAGGAGAAAGTATATATTTTACTTAACTTAGGAGGGGCATGAAGAAAAATATAGAAATGGAAATGAAAATTTCACCCTTAATTAACCTGTCCTCTTAATATGACTAGTGGTTGGATTCTAGAGTCATTCTGTTTCTGGCTTTAGAGAATGGAAGGAAAAATGTGAAGAGATCAGGCTTTATTCTATCTCAAAAAATCGTATTTACCAGTACACTCCAAACTTGTTTCTGTTATGTCCTGTGAAAAAAAGATTCTTTGCTCAAAAAGCTTGGGAAATGTTGCATACCTTAGAGATCAACTCACATTAGAATATTAAGGACTCTGAAAATGCCTGTTATGGTAAAGAAAACTAAGCTTAACCTACCATTTCCTATTTGAACTATTTAAACATGGACATCTTGGCCCCCACTCCCTCACACATTTAAACTTGGTAGTACTTTCTGGAAAACTGTTGTACAGAATGCCAGTTTGGGGAAATGATTAGCTAAACGTGAGGGAAGTACCTTGTTAGTGCTGTGAAGTTTACCCTTTTATTATTTTTCCTTCACCTCTCTCAAGCCTTATTTTTCAACTAAAATAAGGGCGACGAGTGTGGTGAATGTGAAAAGAATTTTATGAGGTTGTTTTGAGTAGCCTCTTATCCTTGGTGTCATTTTTCTTTTCAATATTCTTACATCTGTGTACAGCAAATATTAAAGGGAAATGCTAAGCAAGTTTGGTATTAATTTTATTCTATTTTCTGTATAACTTTAAGTACATAAAGGTTTATTTCCACAGGCCTCAGGAAATGGGTAGAAGTCACAGAACAATCTCTCTTCCAAAAAAAAGTTGCATATTTTGGTAAGTGTGTGTCCTAGAGGGAAAAACTGAAATTTACATTAGCAATGCTGTGCAAGAGTCTTACATAAGACCTAAAACCAGTCTGCAGTGGAGATGTTAGTCCTTTGTTCAGGTGCCTGGACAGAAGCCAAAAGCTGTTGAGCATGACAGGGCAAAGGAAACAGTGAAGATGGATGACAGGCACCTAGCATGGCAAGAAGAATGGTGTGGTGTTTTTCTTTTTAAGTCATCTCTGGAAGGTACTGGGCAAGGATCCCACAGAAAGAGTCCAAGACTCCTTTAACTGGCCTGGGTACAGGGCCCTGCCACAGCAGCTGGTACAGGAGAACCTACTATCTCAGGTTCAGGCAGAGCCAAGATGGAATGGAGAATAAAAGGATTGCTTACAGGAAACAATTTTGCTTGGAATGCTACATGGCCAAGCTTCAGCCTTTGGTCCAGTCCAATCCTTGCCTCATTTGTCAACAGTGAAAAATTAAACAGCTGCAATCACCAACTTCTGCTACCTTCATGCTCATTGTTAGGAAAAGATTAACTTGTGTGAACTTTCTGAGCTGTTAATTCCTGGAGACTGCTTTTGGCTAAATAATCCCCAAAGGCTGAAAGCTAAAACATGCCAGTTCTGGTCTGTAGTTCCTTAAGAATAGACTGGCAATGTAGTTGAGCTGATACGGAAAAGCTGCACCTTCCTGCAGAAGATCAACTGACCTGCTATCCCACCCCAAATCTCAGCCTGAGGTATATTTTCAGTGAAGGCAGGTAGCTGTGCTTCTCAAGGCAGAGAAGCAGTTTAAGAGCAGAAAGGTAGAGGAAATCTAGAAAAGAACCGTCTTGATACAGATTTATCCCATGATGTGAGGGAAAGGGCAAAGAACCCAGTGGCACTTCGCTTATCCAGCAATTTCTGTCACTGTGGTGACCAACTTCTGCCCATTCCATAGGGTCTTGAACTGCTCAGGGACGGGGAACTCATTCTGCAAATAAAGAAACAAGGTTTACTCTAAGCTAAGAAATAAGTTGGGGTTAAATCTTATACTTTTCTTTCAATGGCTGCTTCCACTGAACTCAGAGCAGGTAGGATACAGTAAGAAACTGAACCCACCTGAAAAGGTAAGGCTATGTAACTGGCAGCACCACATCTACTACTCCCTTCCCCTACCACTGACACAGTGAAGAAGCACTGCAGTGCAGGAATGAGAACAAAGGCTCCAAAACCAGAGAGATGTAGGTTTGAACTTGTTCCCTACTGTTCACTGATCAGAGATCTTGGACACAGTGTTAAGCCTATGAGGCGAAGATGAGAATGTATAAGCTTCATGGCACCAGCTCAACAGGGTGCTGTGTCTTAATCCCTTTCCTTTTTACTACTCGGAGCATCTATCTAATCTACTCAACCTAAGGCAGAAACCACCCTCCTCTGGAGCTCTCCTTCGTGACAACATCATGCTTCTGTGTGCCTGAGGTGAGCATTGCTGGGTTTGACGCACTAAATGCAGAATGCCCATCAACTAGTCTAAAAGCAGAAAGTCTTCAGTCCCTTCTGTTTTTAGATCAGTCTACTAAAGAGGTCAAGAAACTTACAAAGTCACCGCCTTCTGTAGGAATGAGGACATTCATCTCAGAAGATTTGGCACTGACTATCTCACAATCCAGGGAATTCTTGCTCAGGTAAACGTGGCAGCCATCTGTTTTGTTGATGGAAATGGTTGGCACTTTACCCATTACCTGCAGAGAACACCAAGAACACTAAGTCCCAGCAGCTAGAGAGAACAACAGTTCATTTGCAGGAAAAGCTTTCAGTGTTTCATGTGATTCGGCAATGGCATGAAAAGCTCACAGGTGCACAACAGGTATTGGATACCAGGGGCAGGCTGGGATGGGTGCTGGAAAGAGCTCACTCTAAGAGCCAACTCCTTTCCTACCACATCCAAAGCAGCTCAGCTTACAGACTTTGTAGAATCAGATTCCCACCACCGCAACATCTGTGGGTCGGCTGTGTCTCTTTCAATTAATTCCTCAGGGACCAAAGGAAGGAGCCAAGATATCAAGTTACCTGAACTTTGACATCCCTACTATTGATTATCTCCACAATGCCCACCACATCGTCGAACACCAGACCGAGTTTCTTACAGTTATCTAGAAGAAAGGGAGCAGGTCAACAGTATAACTTTTAAAGGAAAGTAACATATTTGAGAATTTTTAGGAATAGAACAGGTATGGTTCCAGCCCTCTCAGGCGCTAGACAGAGCCTGCCTAGGACAACAAGAACTCACCTATTGTAATGGAATTAATTTTGCCCTTGATTTGCAATGTTGAGTTGACACACTTGTATACGTAAGCCACCTGTTTGAGCTCTGTGTCATCAATCACCAGGTTGGAAACATTCTCCTGATTTTCCTGTTAAAGAGATACCCCTTTCAGGAATCTCATCATGAAGCACACACTACCCCAAAAATCTGACTGATCCTCAAACTTTCATTCTTGCAATCTAAGCCAGAATCCTGCATTCAATCGGCTGTGCTCCATTTAACCCCTCTGTCCCCACCCTTTGTTCCCCTAGCCTGGCATTATTAACTCACCACTCTCCACTTCTTGCCCTCCAGTTCAAGTAGAGCTGGCTCCTTCTTCATGGCTGGTTTGGGGGATGGGCTGACTCCTGGTTTAGGTGCAGAGAATGGTTTGGGGCCACTTCGTACTGGACCACTCTGAGCCTTCAGAGCAGGGTTCTTGTGAGTCTTCATATCATCAGATACATGTTTCAGGGCTGTAAGGACAAAAGCTGCCTTGGTCCTGCCCTTCATACCAGGGCTTTGGGCTGACGCAATAACCAACTTCTGCTATCATAAGTTAGACTGATCCTTAACAAAAAATTCAAAGCCAAGAACCCGGAACCTTTGAGATGTTCTCTCACAAGCACTTTTATAATTTCTATCCCGAGGTTAACATATAGTTCCATTAAAAAAATAAATAAAACATGGCATGTGTGTGTGGGGGGCGCGGGGAGTGGTACATAAATCCACAGAAAAAGATCTATAAAGGCATATACCAAATACAAAACATGTATGTAGTTTTTAAAGTAAGAGGAAGAAAAATATGTAATAGTAAAGAAAATTTGTAAAAAACAAAACAAAAAAACCTCATCCATGGCTAACCTACTGCTCTCCCAAATCAGTGTTATCATAAAAATTTTCTCATGTTAACCTATAGTTTCTAAAAAAATTTTTTTTTTTTTAGGGAAACGATTCTAGTCACCCTCAGCATGCTGACCCACTCCTTGCTCTTGAACATGGTCCAATCTATATAACTAATAGAGTGGCCTTTTTACCTCCACCACTTCTTATAATTATAATTTAAATACTTGATTTTTCTTAACACTGCACGGTTCACTATAGAAAAAGATTTAATGGCATAGTGTTTCATCAGGAAGATATACTACAGTTAATCATTTTTTTTTGTTAGATACTTAGGTTGTTATACCATTTTTAGCTACTATAAATAACACTATAAAGCTTGGTCTTTCAGATATTTTTATAGGTAGATTCCTAAAAGAGCGCTATATAATTTAGACTTCCATCTGCTGTGTATAAGGGTGTCTACCTTCTCTATACTAACATGAGGTAATTCTTATGCAAATATTCCATATGACTATTATATATCCTCTGAGGAAGTTAACCCCCAGCACAATGACGTCCCCCAAAAAATCATGTAGTAATATGGAAAAAGCTCTGGGAAAAACTGCCAGCACTATGCCTTGGCATAATCAGGTACTCTATATATGCCACTTAATATTAAATCACTTTCCTATGGAGCAGAGGGCATCCCTCAACTATAATCACCCATTTTCAATTTCCATTTAAGCCAACTTTGCTGTCCCTTTGGGCAACTGAAGGAATGTGACATTCCAAATTAATTCTCCCACACACAAACCAGGGTTCTGGCTTACAGACCGTCCAGTCTGTAGTTGGTAAGGTCTGGCCAAAACAACTTACCATACCACTTCTTCTTGCCAAAGTATTTGCTTACCATGTGTGATACTCTCTCCCTGATTAATCTGCGCAAACAGTGCTGAGCGTGAAGCAGAGTCATCTGAGCCTGAACTGGTAGGCACTGGGGGGGGAGGTGGGCCTGGTGGAGGAGGAGGAGGACCTGATCCAGCAGAAGGTCCAGATGGCAATCCACTCAGTTCTTTTGCTACAGGCCCCTGGAACAATAAGTGCAGACAACATAGTCACCCTCTCTTCTCTTTTTTACCATTCCCAATCAGGACCTACATGTGTCCAGGGGACACAGGGTACCTACTGTAGCCCTTAACAAAGTGATTAATGCTCTCTACCCACACCCAACTTGGCTTGATGCCTTCTCATCTTTTCCAAAAGATCCAACCCAACTCAGCTCCACTTCTGTAACTTCATCTTTTTCCTTTGGCCTCTTAACTAATTCCAGCTTATACTCATACTTCCAAAAACCTACTTAAGTGTCACCAGTACCTCAGACTCAACATGTCCATCCTACCTGTACAATTACCAGTCTCTATTTCAGTGGAAGAGACATTATCATCCACACTTGACTATTCGATCTTCTTTGAGTCTTTCGTCTCCCTCAATCTCATTAAATCTTTCTTTTATCTTGGTTATATTTCTGCAAATTCTTTTGTACTAAATCCTAGCACCATAAGCACTTCCACAGTGTGAGCGTGAGCCCTTACTCCTAACCTATAAACTGAGACTCTTTTAAGGACAATTCTGATCATTATCACTCTCTTGCTCAAATACCTGTTATCATCTACTATAAAGTCAAAAGTCTCAACTTACCATCCTTTCCAGCCTTTCTCCTAAAAATTTGACTATCTCCTTATTGAAGCCAGAAATGACCAACCTCTACATTTATTCTGTATTTCTTTGTTTAAGCTATGCCATTTGCGAGTATTCCCCATTTCTCACTTCTCACTGCCTTAAACTTGCAAAAAGTCTCAGATCAGAGTATATCCCTTCAAACGATGATCTCTACAAGTGAGAATTACTCTTCTTTCCCATACTCTGCAGTATGTATCTTTACTGTAGCATTTAGCTTGGTGATTTATATTTGGGGTTGCATATCTATATTTTTAAGCTTCAAGAGTGCCAAGATAATATAACACATTCACCTGTCTCCTCTCCAGCCCAATCACTGTCCTGGACTCATGCTTACTGAAATAGAGTAGAAATGAATATTCCTTCTCTGACCCTTGCTTTCTTTACTCTTTTTTCCCTTTTCTTTTCCTCTTCCACCGAAAAGACTAGCATTCCATCTTGGACCCTGGTAGTACCAAAGTCTAAGACACCTGTGGACCCAGATCTAGAGGGATAAAAGAAAGGAAGGAGGGTTCACTGACCGTTTTACTCCAGGCCAATCCGGTGGTATGGAACTCCTTAATGTAAGCCTGCAGCTCTGCCCATATATTCAAGTAAGCTTTGACCCAGTCCACATGCTTCTTATCCCTGGGATAATTAAAGAAGAATGCATCACAGGCAGTCACGGTACATTACCACAGTGATTCCAGAACCCTTTGTGTCAGTGAGCTCGTATCCTCCTGCCTGTGGTATTTCTCAGGCTCTGCTCAATGGCAGCTTTTCTAACATCACAGAGCTTTTCTTTGTTTTTTAAACCTATACCATTACCCTAATTAGACTAAAGTCTGTTAGGATAGGGACTCCAGATTTTATCTCTTTCTCTTATAGCAGTATTCTTCAAACTTTTTTTTAAGTAGCAAAAAGTTTTCACAGTAGACCTTAGGCAAAATGTAATATGTAAAACTGATAAAAGCAGACATTCTGTGAATGAAGTCATAGTATGAGCTCTCGGGCATTACTGTGGAACTCTAGGACTCTAAGAAACTCAACTGCCACAAAGCATTGTGCCTTGTGTCAAAATATACCCTCTCCCACAAAAAAAAAATAAAAATAAAAAGCTTCTCTTTAGGAGGAAATACTCCCATTAACTAAATACAAACAGCAATGCAGTATGGTTCAACTTTCCTTTCTTCTTATATACTAGCTGGAAGACTTTATGGTTAGTTAGCATAAGACCTAATTTCCTCAACTGTAAAGTGATGGGGATATAATGGTAGGGTATAATAAAAAAATTGTGATACGTAATTCCAGGTTGCTGGAATGATCAAGGAGGCGCTTGGTCATTAAGGCTTACTCCTTCACAGAATTGTTACTCAAATGTTGGCTGACTGATCATAAATAGAAGGAAGGGTTTGTATAGCTGTGCAGCTAAGTAATAGCTACCTAC